AATAAATTTAAGTTGAACTTTGTAGAATGAGTTATAAAATTCTTAAAGTGTTACATGAGGGTGTTGTTCTAATAGATTGGGGGCAGGAGAAGGAAAAGTAGCAGTTAAAGCAGTCTGTTCAGAAACTGAAACCAGCTTAATTCCAATGGAGAGTTTATTTTCTTTTCACAGTCCTGAGGCCACATATTCCCTCTCACTCAAATCTTATTATTTCCATCTTCCATAGTTTGCAGATCTAAATCATCCTCTTGAATTGGACTTGGATGAAAATAGCCTTGTCTAGCATCCTTCCTATAAGCAGATTAAAACATAATTGCATATTTATTCAAAATCAAGTTTTTATTAGATATTTAATTTTTTGAAAGTCATGTATCCCTAGCTTGCATGGTATAAATATTTCTCTTACGAGTTTTCTAAGGAGGTACATTTCAGAATTGTCACATTTAAAATGTCTATCTCTGTAATGCTGAATTTGTAAGTCATTTAAATTATTTTAAAATGATACAAATTAGAATTAAAATATTATGATGACATAACACAGGGCTTTGTTACTTCTAGATTTTGGTTTTCATTGCAAATGAAAGTAGAAATTGAAAGGACCTTTATTTAAGCTATATAATTACATGAAGAAATTTTTACATGGTACCTAATCTTGAAGTTTAAAAAAAATACTTTTCTATAAGGTTTCAAAAGTGTTTTAATATGGTTTCTTTAGTTTCAAACAAAACACAGTTGAAATATACTTCAGCAATTGATTCTATTATATGTATTACATGTTGTATATACTCTTCTATGATTTTTGACCTTAGGAAGATGTTAGGTTGCACTATTTTCTAGGTCTCTGACTTTGAAACAAAACAAAAGGAAATTTATTACAGTCTCACAGAGAGAAACACTCCATGTGTTTGTTTGGGAGATGGAAGAGAAAAAACATCCCTATCTTCCCCAGAATTCATGTTTGGGAGACAGGATATATATATAGCAACATAGTGGCTTAGCCATTTCTGAAATTGCAGTCCCAGCGCCCTCGTTCTTGAATTTAAGTACAAGTTCAGGTCAGAAAAGAATCCAGAAAGTAAAGGTTGTTCAGATCTAGTTCAGAAAGGGAAATAATTGTGCTCTTCCTATGATGATAATGGTTGAATCATTAATTCAGAATCCTTAAGTAAGTCTTTTATTCACAGAACCTTGAAGAGCAGAGTATATATTTTTTTAAATTTTTTTTAATTTTTTAATTTTTTAAAATTTCTTTAATATAAATTTATTTTTAGTTTTCAATATTTACTTCCACAAAATTTTGAGTTCCAGATTTTTACCCCATCTCACCCCTCCCCCCCATCCCAAGATGGCATGCATTCTGAATATCCCTTCCCCTAGTCTGTCCTCTCTTCTATCTCTCCCCCCCTTTTCTTATCCCCTTCCCCTTCTTTTTTCCTGTAGGGCAGTATAGACTTCTGTACCCCATTTCCTGTATTTCTTGTTTCCCAGTAGCATGTGAAAATATATTTTTTTAAACATATGTTTTTTAAAACTTTAGGTTTCAAATTTTCTCCCTTCCTCCCCCCCCACCTACCCTCACTGAAAAGGCAAGCAACTCAGTATAGGTTATACATGTGCAGTTATGCAAAACACTTCGATAGTTGTGAAAAACTAACTCTATTTCCCTTAATCCTATCCTGCCCTCCCATTTATTCTATTATTTCTTTTGACCCTATCCCTTCTCAGAAGTATTGAGCAGAGTGTATTTTTACCTTGACTTAACCTTCTAAAAAGGATCATAATCTCAAAGCTGGAGGTCACACAGATTATGTTATATGTGTTTTGTTTTAAATTAATCTTGAATGAGACTGCTGTAGTAAGTGCCACCATGTAACTGTATATGATTTATGATATAATAATATTTGGATCATTGTAGTAAGTTAAAGTGACTGATTCATAACTTTCAGGAATTGAAGTAATAGTGAGTTCATCCTCCTAAGAACAGTCAGGAAGACTTGAATTCAGATCTGCCTTCCAACATTTCTTGCCTTTGTGACTCTGGACAAGTCACTTCACCTCTGTTTGCCTCAGTTTCCTCATCTGTAGAAGGGGGGGGTGATAATATAAGCACCTGATTCCCTAAGTTGTAATGAGGATCAAATGAGATAATGCTGAAAACATTAGAAAGCTTGGGGGAGGGCGGGCAGGCTTTGAACACCAAAGGATTTTCTGTTTGATCCAGGAGATTAAAGGGAGGCACTGAAGTTTATTGAGTAGGGCAGTTAAGTAGATGATCCAACTTGGGCTTGAGGCAGATCACTTTGACAGCTGAGTGGAGGTTGAATTGAATCGGGGAGAGACATGTAGCAGGGAGAACAACTAACAGGTTGGTAATAGTCCAGGAATCAGGTGATGAGAGCTTGCACCAAGGTGGTGGCAGTGTCAGAGAAAAGATGGGGCAAGGTAGAATCCACAGGATCTGTCAACAGATTATAACTTCTGGAGAGGAGTTGAGGGGGACACTAGGTTATGAGCCAAGATCCGACTAGAAGGATGGTACTTCCCTCAATATGAATAGGGAAATTAGGAAGAGGGGAAGGTTTGTGGAGGAAGATAAATTATTACAGAATTGGGCATGTCTGAGTAGGCAGTGTCTATGTAACATCCACTTATAGGTGTCCACTAGCAGTTGAAAGTACAAGACTAGAAGTCAGTAGAGAGATTAGAGCTGGATAATTAGATTGGAGAATCATTACCTTAGAGGTGGTAATTGAATTCATGGGAGCTGACAAAATCAGCAAGTATCTAGGGAAACTAGAACACAGCCCCAGACAGTACCCTGTGGGAAACCCATAATTAGCAGACCTGAATGAAGCCTCAAATAAAGGAGACAGAAAGAGCAATCAGATAGGCAGGAGGAGAAGCTAGAAGGAGTAGTGTCACAAAAGCTACAAGAGAAGAGGATAATTGGGGGCAGCTAGGTGTCACAGTGGATAGAGCTCCAGCCTTGGAGTCATGAGGACCTGAGTTCAAATGCACCCCCAGACGCTTGAAACTTACTAGCTGTGTGACCCTGGGCAAGTCATTTAACCCCAACTGCCTCAACTAGATAGGTAGATAGATAAAGAGGAGAGGATAATCCACAGTGTCAGGGGCTGCAGAGAAGTCAAGGATGAAAGTTGAAAAAAGACCATTGGATCTGGCAATTAAGAGATAATTAATAACTTTGGAGAGAGCAGTTTTGGTTGCATGATGAATGAAATCAGAAGCCAGACTCTAGAGAATTGAGAAAGAAAGTGGGAGGGAAAGAGGTGGATGGCCTTCTCAAGGAGTGCAGCCACAGAAGGGAGGAGAGATATGGGACTCTAGTGAGGATCTTTTTGGTAATGGACTTCTTGGGGAAGCAGCCAGAAGATGCGAGAGATTGGGGATTATTGAGGGGACAATCTGCTCCAGTAAACAGAATGGAATAGGATCCCATGTACATGTAGAGGGGTTTACTTTGGCAAGGACAAGGGCCACCTCATTATGTGAGATGAGTGAGTGAGGAGATGAGGACAAGGGGAGAACAGGGAGCTCTTGGCAAAGGGCCTCAATTTTTTCAGAGAAATAAGAAGTAAGTTTCTCAGCTAAGAAGGTGGGGGGAAGAGGAGCCATGGGAGGGTTGAGGAGGGGTAGAAAGGTTTGGAAGAGCCGCTGTGGTGAGTGAGATAATAAGTTAATTAGGAAAGTATGTAAGGATTCCTTTGCCATAGTAATGACCTTGTGAAGGTTATATAGCATACATTTGCACTGGAATTAGTCAGCCCTATTTCGTGATTTCTCCAGCTTCATTCAGCAACTCATGCTTGTAAACAAAAGCAGTAGATGGTGGTAGTGATCCAAGGCTGAGGCTCAGTAGGAAAGATGAGCGATACAGTTAAGTGGTGAGGGACTCAAGAAAAGGAAAGTAGATTTGAGCTGGTGAAAGATCCAGAAATCCCCTAGGAGGTCAAAGTAATAGCACTTTTTGTAATAACAAAAAGCTAAAAACAGAGTAGGTGTTCATTAATTAGGGAATGGCCAAACAAATTGTATTTGAGTGTAATTAAATTTACCATGATATGGTATATACTATACTGGAGGAAATGACAGAAATAAGGAATTCAAAGAACTGTGTAAAGACTTATATGAACTAATAAAGAATAATAAAAAAGCAGAGCCTAGAGAACAATTTGCAATTTACTGCAATAATATAAACTAAAACAACACAAAAGTATTTCTTTGTTAGTTTTTTTTCCTTCTAGAGCCTTCTGACTTTATAAAGAGGAAAGTACTTCACTTTAAAATTGCTTAAAAAATAGCATTTTAAAAATAACAGATTTAAGTATCTTTAGGAAAATTCACCATTACAGTTGCTATGGGCAACAGTTTTCATTAACTCTTTTTCTTTATTATAAGGGCAGTCTCTTTTGTGAAGTGGCATACTGCAGAATGAGTTGTAAGAAGCAAAGGGTACCAATAAAACTTTATACCTTGAGCTGTTGGCTGAAAGGCTTTTTATATGTCATATTTTTAATTAGCTGAACAGTTCTACATTTGTGGTTCTGTTATTTTCATGTGAAACTTTGCAAATACTTTATTAAGAATATCATAGGAGCACTAGGTGGCACAGTGGATAGTGCACTTGCCCTGGAGTCAGGAGGACTGAGTTCAAATGTGACTTTAGACACTTGATGCTTATTAGCTGTGTGACCTGGGGCAAGTTACTTAACCCTGATTGCCTGGCCGAAAAGAAAAATAATATTATAAATGTACATACTGTGTTATGAATAAAATAGAAGTTTCTTTAAAGTCCTTAGTAAAATGTATTATACATTTTACTTTTAGCCTAATTATTGCTTTCTGAGTTGGATTTTTTAATTATGCAAGAATATTGCATTTTTAAATGAATATTAGAAATAGTTTTTATATATGTAAACATATATATGTGTGTAAAAGAGCAGATTTGTAATTAAATTCCTTTGGTTGTTGTTAAACAGAGTATTAAGAAAAAAAATACGAGCAAGCAGGAGATGAGCACATACCTGAGATTCATTGTCTCCCGAATGAAGGAGCGGGTAAGTCCTACTAGGGAATATCTCATTCCTCCCTTGTCTTCCTTCCCCTCGACCCCCTAATTTTTTTTCTTAAGTTCCCTTTGAGGAAATAAGTGGCAACTAGTACTATATAAAGCAGTATATAATGTGAAAATCAATTCTTTATTACATTGCTTCTTGCACTAAATAGTTGTTCTCAGACTTTTAGCTTTTGAGTTGTTTTCATTTTTGAGTCTGTCATCTTTTATCATGTACTTTAGATCTGAAGCATGACTTGCTTTAAGTTCTATGGGTATTAGTGGGGGTTTTTTGATCAGCAATTAGTATTTAGAACTAAGTGAGATTTTCTAAGATTATTAAAACATCTATTCTTACTATTAAAATCAGAATTCCACTTATGAAACACTCAATGTAGTAGGTATACATTCTTCAGTTACATTTTAAAGATTTTTGATAAAATTTCTTCATAGATCTAAAATAGTTTGAGATATACATGTTTATGATTTTCGTGTTTTACTTTAGCTCCCATTCTGATGTTTCTCTAACAATTCTTATAGGCCATAGATCTAAACAAAAAGGGGAAGGACAATAAGCACCCAATGTACAGAAGATTGGTACATTCAGCTGTTGATGTTCCTACAATACAAGAGGTGAGGTCACATTCCAACCCTCACCCCACCCAATATATCTGCTCACAGTGCTTTTGAAATTTAAGAGTTAGCAAGACCATAAGAATTGTGGGCTTGGTGTCCATTTTATTTTTAATTGCATGCTTATCAGACACAGCTAGAACATTGGGCCAAATCTAATCAAATGAAATTTAATAGGGACAAACATAGTTTTATATACTTAGTTGGGTTAAAAAAAAACCCACTTCAGAAGAACAGTATGGGGGAATTGTGATAAAATTGCAAGAAAATTAATGCATTCTTAAGCTGCATCAAGATATATATAGATATATCTATATCTACACACACACACACACACACACACACACACACACACACGTATATAGTGTTCAGGATGAAGGAGGCAATATCCTGCTATCCTTTGCCTCATTAGACCATATCTGTTGTACAGTGTTCAGCTATAGGTACCATGTTTTAGGAAAAATACTGATAGGAAAGGAAAGCATCTAGGGGGAAAAAAAAGGCAACAAAGATGAGTAAGGACTTTGAAAGCATGCCCTCTAAGAATGAGTTTAAGGCCTGGGAAAGAGGCCTTGATAGCTACACTTAAGTACTTAAGGGTTGTCCTGGGAAAGAGTATTTTATTTGTTCTGCCTGACCCCAGAGGGCAAAACTAGGAGTAATATCAATAGTAGAAGTTTTGGAGAGTGTATTTAGAAACTTTCTGACAGTTAGACCTACTCAGTCATGAAAAAGGTTATCTCAAAGGGGAATTGGTTTCCCCTTCACTAGAGGCGTTCAAACACAGTCTGGGTGTTGTCAGAGGGATTCCCAGTCATATGCCAGAAGGACTAGAGGAATCTCTAGTGTCCCATCCTGTCCTGAGACTCTGGGATTAAAGAACCCCCCAGTGCTCACTATCGTCTTAACACCTGATTGTGGCATTCATTCTGAAAGGTTAGGCCACCAAAGTGCTAGATAGGGAACTGCCTAGATAAGTTTGAAGAGGGTCATCATGAGAGAGTTACCCACCAAGGGATGCATTTGCTGGTCACAGTCAGTTCCTGAAGACGGAAAATGGAAAAAAGAAAAGAAAAAACTGATATTAAAAGGTGGAAAGTGGTTGTAATCTGATTCATTAGAGGTTGAAAAAACTCATAAATAAAAGAATATTTTTGAAAGTATTAAAGACAGTTTTAAAATAATGATCAAAAGTTAGTCATTTTCACAATTCATCACATATGTCAGATGTGAAGGCACATTTCATAATTTGTTCTGTTAAGGTTTTAGTGGCCTTAGATCTTTGTATAGAACTGCCTGCCTCCCCCGTCACCTCCTCAGGAAGTTAGGAAGTAACGGTAGATGAAATGAAACATTTTTACCAGAAAATAGACTCCCTTGCACTTTGCACATAATTGACACCTAATTGATATGTGTTGAATTGAATTTTTCTTTTGGTCTGAGATATAACCCACCGTTGTGGTCCCAGAATGTTAATGATTAATTATTCAATTTTCCATGATGACAACCCAAAGAAAATTAACCCTTGTGTTTCCAGTTAAGATCAGTGTTGTTGCAAAACCTGTTCTTCATGTGTCACTTTGAAATTTTTGGATATAACTGTTAGTCATAAAAACTTGTAGGTACTATAAGTAGCAGTACTAAACCCCTCAGACTCTTCTGAATCCATGAAGCAGCTAGGAGATATTAATAATTTGTAATTCAAAGAGATTTGCTTCAGGAAAAGAGACTTAAGTGAATTGTGTATTCCCTTGATTTGATTTCCTAGCCTGGCCCATATCAGGGAATTGGTGCTTCTTTCTCCACACTAAATAACTTGCCTTGGCCCCTGAAAAGCAAGTGTGATAGAAAAACACAGATTTTCAGTCAGAAGATCTAAATTCTTGTTTCCTATCTTCCAGTGCTAACCTGTGACCTTGAACAATTCACCTTACCTTTTTAGGCCTCAGTTTCCACATCTATAAGAATTTTATGGTAGAAAGTCCCTCATTTTCTATAATTCTATAACTTGTACATTAAGACCCTTTTGAACTACAAGATCAGGCTACGTAGGCAGGCATAAAATGACTTGGTAGAATATATCATTAATACTTATGAAATGCAATTTTATTTTCTTAAATGTCATCCTTGTCCAATGGTATACAGACAACTTTCAGATTCTAGTTGGGAAATTAAGTGATTAAGTGCTCTTTCACCATGTACTTTGTGAACTTGTTAGAAAGACAGTTCCCTCTACTTTCATTGTGACCTGCCCTGTCCTCAGAGGGTCCCATAATGTAAACTCATAATATAGAGATATTGTCTTATAATTTTTTATATTTTGCCTTTGTATTCTGCAGAAAGTGAATGAAGGAAAGTACAGAAGTTATGAAGAATTCAAAGCTGATGCTCAACTTCTTCTTCACAACACAGTGATTTTCTATGGAGGTTGAGTCGTTTTGTTTTTTCTTTTAAATCATTTGACTTCCAATAGAGGGAAGTATTAAATTTTAAAACTACTGTAGAAATAAGCATTAATTGTTTAGTTACAACCTTAAATATACAGCCTTAAGTAGATGTATGAAAGTGCCAAAGTTAGGGTATATATTAGTAGACTATTTGACTGCAATGGTAATAAAATTAAAGGCAGAAGAAATAACTTATGAATTGATTATAGTCACATAATACAATAGAAAGATCACTAGAATTGTAGCAAAAGGCACAAATTTAAATGTCATCTCTCCTACATCTAGCAGTATGTAAACTTAAACATCTCTGAACCTGAGTTTCTACATCTCTAAAATGAGGATAGAAATACCTTCATTTTCTACTTCCTAGGGTTGTTGTAAAGATAAATCAGATAAAGTGAGGGATGGGGGGAGGATATTGGGTGTATGAACTTTATAATTATAAAATGCTATTTATACATATGTGTATTAAAATACTACAGATAATAAACAGATTATGATTGCTTCTGTAGTTGGTTTGTTTGGGTTTTTTTTTAAATACAGATGTCTTAGTTAATCAGAAGTTTGAAAAAAATCCCTAAACTACATATAGATAGGCAGGAAGGTACTCTGTACCTAGACAATTGACACATCTTGCTTTGTAAAATATTTTTGTTCATTTTTATCTTTTAGTAGAATTTGGCTTAAAGAATACATTAGGTTTAAAATAGCACAGTTGCTTATGTTTTCTTAAGTTTTGAAAACCATAATGTGAAATACCCTAAATCAAATGTTTTAATTTGGCTTAGCTCATGTTGTTAAATTGTTGGTAATAGGTAATGTGTGTCTTTAATTACAGCGGACAGTGAACAAGCTGACATAGCCAGGATGCTCTATAAAGATACATGTCATGAGGTAATTTTAAAGCCCAGTAACTAAACATTTGTGGACTATATCATGCTAGTTGATGAGAACACTGGGTTGGTTTTTTTTCCTCTTACAAGCTACAAATAATATGATAGTTATTATGATATTTCTGTATTAAACTTTACCACAGTAGTACTTTTATAAAGGTAGTTTTAAGCATTTTATTCCTTTTACTTGTGGTATTTTGATTATTGATTTTCATAGAAAATACCACAAATTAGCTCTAGGAAATAAAAAATCAGGAGTAGAGTTTTTCATTTCCATATCTTTATAGAAATACAACAGAAATGGTAATAATCATTTAATTTATTCAGTCTTCAAGTTCATTTCTATCTTTGTGAAAAAAAATCATCAAGTTCACATCATTTTGTCATTAATAGCATCTGTGACATCAACTATCTATAATCCAATTATTAAACTTTTTTCAAATACTTTTTTAATTGTATTATTTCCTTTCTGTGCTTATCTGTATGTTAAATCATGAGAATATCTGCAAAAAGCAAGTGTTTTTTCAACTCTATTATGTTATTTTACCAAAAGTAGTTTCATTTCCATGCTCAACCACACATTTTTTATTAATAATTACACTAAGAAAAATTAGGAGTTGGAGAATATTATATATGTATAATCAACTGTGAGCTAAAGGGAACTCTGGCAGATTCCAACTTTGAGTCAGGACCAAGCTCCTCTGGACATTTATGTCTTGTGACAGTCCTCTGCCATAAGGAAGTCCCTCCTGGGGGGACAGAGGTTCCCCTTTTGACCGTTGCTTTTGAGCACTGGCCTCACAGTGCCCAAGCCCCCACCAGAGGTGTGACTATCAAAAAGGAAAGTCCCTGTCCCACAACCAGGTTTATATCTAAGGAAAGGCCCATGGGATAGCCAGAGATATCAGGGAAAACAGACCCCTTAATGAATTCAGATGCCATGAATAATATGTCATAATAAGGGCCAGTTTCATGCTTAGTTTTTATTAGTGTTTCATAATTAATAAGGAAGAGTGGGAGAGAGGGTGGAAAGAGGAGACATACACATATTAAAATAGATTAAAACTTACACAAAGGTGGCACTGTATTGGGGAGCACAGAGGCATAGGACCGTTAAAGTGCTCCATTCAGGTGGGAAGGCTTGGTCCCACAGGAGCAGCATGCTCCTGGCAAGGAAAGCTATGTTTCCAAGGAAGCAACATCTACACCTATGGAGGGGAGAGGTACCCCAAAGTACCCATCTGAGAGTGGGATACCAGCCCCCATTGTTATGACTTATTATTCAAGGCATCTGAACTCATTAAGGGGTTTGTTTTCCCTCAGCTTCTCTGACTGGCCCACCGGGATTTTCTTTAGACATAAACCTGGTCCCGGGACAGGGACTTTGCCTTTTGACAGTCATACGTCTAGCAGGGGCTTGGGCACTGTAAGCCCAGTCTTCAAAAGCAAGAGACAAAAGGGGAACCTCTGTCCCTCCAGGAGGTACTCCCCCTTATGCAAGAGGGCTGTCATGGGATATTTTATTAATGTTAAATCCCTTTGCCCTGCTATCTGTTTGAGAAAGGGAGTTATCCAAGAATCCCTGAGAAGATTGTTTGGGTCAGTTACACAAAGACAAAAATTAAAACCAAGAAAACTTGCACAGATTTACCCAGGGGCAACTTTCAAAAAACAATTATTAATAAAGCAGATATTTAAATGACATTTCTTATGGCCCACATTAGTATTTTGATTTTAAGATTTTATCACTCACAAATAGGTACTTTTGCCCTGGCAGGTGGTATTTTTTGGATGCTTTTCTGTCATTTCATAGATGTGACCTAAAGGAAGCATTTCCTTTTATATAAGAGTATGGAATTTTAAAATTTTCATTCAAAAATTTAACTTTACTACTGCTTCTAATCTTGTAATTATTTATTTTTCTTTTTCCAGTAATGAACTTAAGCAACTTTGTAGAAGGCTAAACCTTGTAAATATTAAGTTATTTATAGAAATCTTAGTTTTCTTTGAGTCCTTGTTGATGTGCATGCATGTTTTTACACAAGACAACTAAATATTCTTTAGTTGAATTTTTTGTTTTTATTTTTCAGCTGGATGAACTGCAGCTTTGCAAGAATTGCTTCTATTTGTCAAATGCACGTCCTGACAACTGGTTCTGCTATCCTTGTGTATGTTTGTGAAATTTTGAAATTTGCTTATTTCCCTTTTTTTTTTGCAACTACCAAAGTTTTGCCTCTTAAATGTTAGATTGTTTTAAATACATTTCCAATATATCCAGTTTTTGCTAATGCAAAAAAATCTTTATAATAAATATGTATGTGCATGTATTTTTACATTGAGTACTAAATTTTCCTGAAGTTGATTCTTTTTAATTTTCTCACAAATATATAATGTCAAAGCTATGGTTTCATACGTTAAATTTCTTCAAGTAGGAAGCCATCAGCAATATAATTTTAATCATAATCACTCAAATCGAAATGAGAGTTAAAGTGTCATTTAGTGTTAGAAACTCAGAGGCTTTCTCTGTATCTGGTATTTTGAGATATTTCAAGCTTGATTTTTTTTTTTGCCCTCTTTAGTTACTTTTGGTTTGTTTTTTAAGGGTTTTATGGCTTTTTAGTTGGCCACAGCATTCTGAGTGCTCTAGAAGTATAATTATGTCACTGAATCTAGGGAGGAGGGAGAAAAAACAATCTAAGTAAACCTGTCTAATTCCAGGCTTGCCACCCACCCCAAAAGTTTCTGGCCCAACAAGGGCATGAAAAGAATCCAAGATTATGCCTATCTGACAGTCCCTTGCAGGTACATTACCCAGCTTTCTGAACAGATGGAGATGTTTGTTCCTCTTTGAGAATGATAGCTCCTACCTCACAGAATTGGTGAAAAGATCAGATGAGATAATCTATGTACAGTTCTTCACAAACCTTCAAACACTATGTAAATGCTAGCTGCAATTAAAGTGATAAAAGTAACCAAATGATCCAAAAATCATAACTTAAACAGTTTATTATATCTTTGACAATCAGTTCTGTAGCCCTTAAGAGAGAAGATCTTAAGAGCTGGGCATTCTTTTGTTGTCAATGCACAGTAGCATTCATGGCTTTAAATGGTACTGATTGACTTGTTCCATAATATAGCTGGTAATCCAGAGAACATTGTTTTCAGGCATGTAGAAAATGGAGGGGAAGCTATATTACTACCTTTTCCTCAGCAATGTCACATTTTCTTAGAGGAAAGAATATTATCTACTGTGTAAAAACATTCCATATTATCACATAAGCATAAAAAATTTAAGTTAAAAGGTAGAAAATAACAGCTTTGATTTTAAGTGACTATCATAATAGCTTACCTTATAGTTTAAATACTAATAGTATTTTTTTTAAATTATAAAGGGAAATATGTTTTATTTTTAGATACCTAATCATGAGCTGGTTTGGGCCAAAATGAAGGGTTTTGGGTTTTGGCCAGCCAAAGTCATGCAAAAAGAGGACAATCAAGTTGATGTTCGCTTCTTTGGTCACCATCACCAAAGGTAATTTGTGAATCTCTTATGCAGATTGTCATAACCTGCTTTGCCTTTAAAGAAATTGTCTTTTAAGAAGGTTTTAAAGATATTTATTACCTTTTATTAGTCTCAAATTTTCTAATGTATACATGTTTTCAAGACTGTTTCAAAATATAGCTAAATATTATTCAGTCATAGAAGACTTGAGGTAAGGGCCTCTCTTGAATAATTATAAAGTTTGATTTATATTGAATAAAAATAAGTGAAGTATATATGGCCCATCCTTAAACTTTAATGATTACCAACAGGTTTTAGAAAAAAATTTGCCATGGGTTGCATAATCATCTGAAAAACGTTTAATATGTCTAAATCAGTCATAAAGCCTGAACCAAATACTCACTGAGTAAAATAATGTATCATTTTCTTGTGTATTAAATTCAGGACATTGGTGACAACCAGTACTGTTTAATAATGTAGCAGTAGTGTATTATCCTTGAATATTGGTTAAACCAAGGCAGTAGGATAGAAAGGTTCAGAGTACATATGGATTTAGTAGTATTATAACATGATTACAGTAGTCTCAGCCTTTCTAACAAAGTCCTAATAAAATTCAGGGATCTTAACATTAGACAAATTATCACCTTTCAGGTGGAAGGTATAGTTAGACTAGGTGCATAAAAATATATGTAACTCTTTTTAATGTGCATGAGAATTGTATGCCTATAACAGTAATAGGGCATAATTTCTAGCTTAGAAAACTTTTCTTTTTCTTTGTTGTTTGCAAGCAGAGCTCAGTTTCCACATTGTATTTTTCAGAGCACAGATTTACATGTTTATCAATGGCAGAAATAATTCTTGTTTTTTGTTTCCATAAAATTATTTTGAATAATTTTACTTCCATAAAATGGATTGAACATGTTATGACACATATATCTATAGCATATCTGCCAGCCACATTGACGTTACTAAAATTTTAGTTAACGCTTATTTTTTTCTTTGTGAGGTAATTAGGGTTAAGTGACTTGCCCAGGGTCACACAGCTAGCAAGTGTCAAGTGTCTGAGGCAGGATTTGAACTCATAACACTTAAATTTTTAATTTTTGGTTTTATTTTTGGGGGGTTTTTTTGGTGAGGCAGTTTGGGTTAAGTGACTTGCCCGGGGTCACACAGCTAGTAAGTGTCAAGTGTCTGGTCTGAGACTAGATTTGAACTCAGGTCCTCCTGACTCCAGGACTGGTGCTCTATCCACTATGCCATCTAGCTGCCCCTAAGTTTCTTAATAATGATGCCATTAATAAATTTTCTAGAAAATGGGAATTCATTCATAAAACAAACATTTATTGTGTACTTAACAAGGCTCTATGGGAAATATATAAGCATTTATCAAGTGTCTACTATGTGTTAATCACTGTATTAGGTGCTAGGGCTGCAAAGGCAAAAAAGAAATAGTCCCTGACTGGAACTGGAGCTCAGGGGAGAAGCCAGGGCTAGATATGTATATTTCCAAGTCACCTGCATGGAGAAGATAGTTAAATCCATGGGAGCCTTACTTGTGTCTCTTGATAGAATATAAACTCCTTCAGGCCCTTGTTACCTCTCACATCTTCATTGGTCTCCTTGCCTCAGGTCTCTCACCACTCCAGTTCATTTATACTCAGCTGCCTGAGTAACTTTCTTTAAGTGCAGATCTGATTATGTGACTTCCCTACTCAGTAGTAAAGTCAAGTGAGGGTTTTGTGAGGATGGTGGAGAACTGAACATGTTTATAGATAGCAGGTAATGAACCAGTAAATAAGGAGAGATTAAAGAGTAGCAGAAGAGGATAAATGTGGGGAACAATATTGCAGTGAATGTGGCAAGATGGGATTAATGGTAAAGGGGTTGAACAAAGAAGTAGCCTCAGTTTTAGAGGTTTGCATATTTTCACAACATTCCTAGAACTCCAGATGTGCAACACTCAAAGATTTTGATACATATGATTTGTGGAGGATTGGGACACAAGATGTACTCAGATAAATAACTATGATACAAAGTTGGATGAAGTAAGTTTTATAAGAGAAGTAAAAACAATGCCATAGGAGTTCAGGTGAAAGAGGGTTTGCTTCCATCTGACTTAATTAAGCAAAGCTTCATAGAAGAGTTTCAGTTTGAACTAAGCCTTAAAGAATAGATAAATAGTGGTTGGCTTGCATTACCATTCATAAGATCACAATAGTTAGTCATACTAAACTTTTCAAGAAAAAGAAAGGAATTTACATGAGGTTATTCAGTTCACTTAAACATAAATCATTTTTCCACCTGAATATCAACAGCAATTATTTTTTAAAATTATGAAATAAGAATGATAGCATTTATGTAGCACTTTAATGTTTACAAAGTACTATACATATTATTTTCTCCTCATAATAGCCCCATGAGGTAGGTGCTATTATTATCTCATTTTACATATAATGAAATTGAGGCTGAGAGAGAGGGGGCATGATTTGCCCAGGGTCAAACAGTTGGGAAGTGTCTGAGGCAGAATTTGAGCTTAGGTCTCCTTGACTCCAAGTCTAGTACCCTTACCCATTGCACCAACTAAAGTTTTTAAAAGCCACAACTTAGTTTCTTAAATCTCCAAAAATCAGTCCTGAAGCCCTTTAAGGTAGGTGACAGGTACTCTGTCACAATGGTAGCAAGATAAAACTCCATAAATTGTAGTTACTAATGTTAAACAAAAGGTGGAGAACATGGCAGGTCTTTTAAATGCCATGCTATCATGAACAACTACTTCATTAAATTTTTACTTAATATGAATAACATACATATCTTAACATCATGGTTGTTAATACCTATTGAAACTATAATATTATACATTTCTAGAATTTCATATAAAGGTAATAGGCTTTATTGAAACAATTCAGTTCCATAAAAATCTTTGTTATTTTTTTAGGAAAAAGATTCTATAATTTGACATAATAGTTTAATTTTTCCAGTTTTCCACTTGGACAGATATGTTTAATAAACTGATTTGAAAGGAGTAAATGATATTTTAAGTTTAAAAATCTCTCAGAATCATGTTTTCATTTTCAGTCCATCTGAGGTTGTAGGTACATCTGTCAGGCATCTTGCACATAGCAGGTGCTTAAGAAAAGAAGGTCCTGATTAATACAAATAATGAATCCTTTGAAGTGGCCTCATCTATTTGAATTTGTACTATTAACCCAATGAAAATATGCAGTACAAATTTGAATAATTCGACTGCTTCACAGGATTCCCTGTTCACTAATTGGGACCTGGCAGTAAATGTTTGCTGAGTGGAAACTAAGAACTCAAAAGACAGTAAGAGTAGACTGTAAAAATGTCCTTAATTTAGGAACAATGCAGATTTATTCAGTATTTTGAGGTTTACAAGTCTGTTTCTTCATAAAAATCTGGTGTTATACAGTTATTTTACAGATAAGAAAATTGAAGTATCACTTAAGTAACTTATCCAGGTAAAATATTAAGTGGTAGAGTTGTAATTCAAACCCAGATTTTTTTACTTTAGGACTCGATCTTGGAGTATCATACTGCCTTCGAACCAGTAGTGGGAACAGATCTTTTTAAAATTAGTATCATACTTCAAATGATTCATTATTTGTACTAATCGAGACCTCGTTTTCTTAGGCACCTGCTATGTGCAAGATACTGGACAGATGTGTCCACAACCTTAGATGGATCGAAAATGAAAAAGTGATTGAGAGATTTTTTTTAACTTAAAATATCTCTCTGCTTGTTAAGGAGAAAGAGAATGATTTCCTTGTGACTGAGGTGGAGAATGGTGTTACTTTGGGCAGCAAGAAGGATGTAACTGCAGGAGAGTCTGCAAGATCTCCAGTTTTTAATAGAACAAGACATGTGGGTGTTTGCCTCTTTTGTCATTTAGTACCTTTCATCCTAAAGGCAGCTTCTGTCTATGCAGTCAGAAAGGTCCTGGGCGAGATGGGAAGGAACATCAAGATCATCAATAGGACTGGGGACCACGAAGGAGTCTGAAGATCTGACAAGCTTCTAGAGATTCCCAGTGGCTTCACAGTGGCTTGGGTAGGGGCAGGGGGATTAGGCATTGAGGAAAAGTTCTTGAAGATGAATAAGGAAGGGGTAATCAAATTGGGATGCCTGTTATTTGTGCCCTTGCTAGAAGGCATGATTAAAAAGCCAGACCCCACACAAGTCAAGTGTGTAGCACAAGCAGTGGTGTGACCAATGTGTTGTCCAAGATAGAGCTGATTGAATCATGCTGTTTGAGGACTCTGCTGAAAGAGGCTGTCCGATAGAAATTCTGCAAATGCTGCTGTGCTTGATTGCCTGACAGGCAGTGGCCTCTATCTTTCACTTGCAGATGTTTAAAGGGCTTCACCCTTACAACCAAGGATCCCACTGAAGGTGCTGTTGTGGGCACCCTAAAGGCTTCCATCAAGTGTTGCATTAGGGTCATTATTGTTCTTACCAAGTCTGGAAGTTCTGTTCACCAGGGCAATAGGTGCCATTCTTGGACCCACCATCATTGCTGTTACTTATAGTTATTAGGATGCACACCGGGCTCATCTCTACCAAGGTATCTTTCCTATGGTATGTAGGGAGTTCAATCATAATTCAGCCTGAAGATAGGAACTTCAAGGTTAACTTTGAGAATGGAAGTTAGCAAAACTCTTGGCTTCTTTGAGAAAAATCATGTGATCATTTTCCTAATGGGTTGGCATCCAAGTCCACACTTCAGCAACACTGTGAGTTGCTGCCAGTTCCATAAAAGGACACATGAAAGAAACCTTCTCGTAACTCCAGCATTTTCCCTTCCCTCCCCCTGCCTGCATCCATTGTACCAACAAATATCCATGGTGTTATTCATTCATTACTGTTGGTGACTTTATACTGCAAAAACACCAAAAAGAAAGATTAAAGTCCCTTTTTTTCTTTTTTAAAAATTTATTTTGATTTATCAGCAATCACTTCCATAAGCTCTTGAGTTGGAAATTTTTCTCTACTCCCTCCCCCCTTCCCTCCCCAAGACGGCACGCAATCTGACATAGGCTGCACGTATACATTCCTATTAAATATATTTTTGTACTAGTGATGTTGCAAGGAAGAATTAGAACCAATAGGAGGAACCACCAGAAAGAGGAAACAAAACAGAAGTAAAAAATAGTAAATAGCATGCCTCAATCTGCATTCAATCTTAAAGTCCCTTTTTAAAGGGGGAAAAAGTGATCAAAAATATTAGACATAGGTTTAGTTTGTCTTAACTCTGCTTTGTTTTATATAGCAGAATACCTCAAGCTGTGATACTTTCAGCTGTGTTACATAGCCAAGTCTATCACTGATAAACTGTATAAATATCTTTTTGTTCCTTAAAAATAGTTTCTCGGGTATTAATAATAATAGTCTAGCTCTAGCTAATATGTTATAATTGTAACTACATTTTCTTTTCTTTTTCCAACTACAATTTTCATTTGACAAGTAAACACACAGAGGGAAAATGTCATGAAGTGGTGTCATGGATTTTTAGTCAAAATGGAGAAAGTGGGTATTGAAAAACTTCTTTCTATCAATAGTTCATTGGATCTGTGATCTTACTGATGTTGGAACTTCTTCCAGTGGTGTTTTTCCATGCTTCCTGTGAATACTTGTGCTAAGATTCTCATCCAGTATGCTGAGAATCTCTCTTCATAGCTCTTATGTTTCATGGATACCATCAGAGCACACAGCACCTCATTCTCATTTTTTGACTGCCCCACGTTTTTCATTCTTATTACTTCTCTGATGACATCCTCTGTGCCACTCTTTCTACACAACCTTTCATTGGTGATATATGTTGGGTTTTTTAAATAATATTTTATTTTTTCCCCAATTACATGTAAAAACAATTTTTAACATTTTTTAAAATTTTGAGTTTCAAAATTTCTCCCTCTTTCTCTCACCTCTCGCCTCCCTGAAATAGTAAGAAGTTTGATGTAAGTTACACCTATGCAATCATGCAAAATATTTTCATATTAGTCACGTTGTGAAAGAAGACACAGACCCAAAGAAAAAACAAAACCACAACAAAAGAAAGTGAAAAATAGTATGTTTTCAATATACCTTCAGACTCCATCAGTTCTTTCTCTGCATGTGGATAGCATTTTTCATCATTGGTCTTTTGGAATTGTCTTGGATCATTATATTGCTGAGAATAGCTAAGTCATTCACAGTTGATTATTGTTCAATATTGCTATTACTGTATACAATGTTCTCCTGGTTCTTACTTACTTCAGATTGCATCAGTTCATGTCAGTCTTTCTAGGTTTTTCTGAAATCAGCCTGCTCATCATTTTTTATAGTACAAAAGTATTCCATTATGGTCATATACCACAACTTGTTTAGCCATTCCCCAATTGATGGGCATCTACATCAATGGTAGGGCTCCATGATTTGAAGTCAGGCAGCATTACTAGAATAGTTTTTTTGGTTTTTTGTACCAGACCAGTGATTTCATTGTCATATGGAATTCTTAGTGAGGAAACTCCATTAATGAATGTAGATTATCACCTGTTCCGCTACCCACAAACTAAGAGAGTTGCCTGGAGCACTGAGGTTAAGTGACTTGTTCCAGCTTGCATAGCCATTGGACTTGAACCCTGGTCTTCCTGACTCTTCAGACATTTCCCTACCCATTATGCTAGACTGCTTCTTTTCTTTTGAAAAACATTGATATTCCAAAGATGGGTCTTTGTTCCTGGGAAAAGCTTGGGGCAGTTAAAAGGGCTAGGCAGACTTCACAAGGGCCCCTCAGCTTGTTCTCCTCCTGTTCCTTTCTGGACACAGATCTTTGACATCTGCAGGTGAAGATCTACTCTTTGACATTTGTCTAAGACATAGGTGATGATCGACCAGTTTTATTAACAGCTGTCCATCCAGTTGCATACCTAATCTTTATAAGAGGCATTCTGTTTGACTTTTGCTGTGCAGAGAATTGAGCCAAACTCGAGTGATTGCCAGTCTCATTTAGGAAGCTCTGCAGTTTTCTTGGATTTAGTGAAATCAGCACAATCTCATCTACAAAAAGGAGCATTTAGCAGAGCTCACAGTCTCTAAGGAATCGTTTTTCCATTTGGACTTTGAGCCACATATCCCTGTAACAGTGACAAACACCTTTGACAAGCATATATCTCCACTTTTCCATGCCTCAGTTGTTATTAATAATCAAAGGTTTGTAAAACCAAAGTTATTTCTGTTACAATATCTTTCAAGGAATATGGTTTGATTTTGATTTTTACAGAAGAGACTCCTTGTTGGGGGAGACCCATTAAGGTCACTTGTTTTGCTGCAACAAATCAATTGGGTTTTTTTTATAATCCAACAGTAAGTCCAGTAGGATCTTATTATTCACTATCCTTTCAGTCAGTTATGTGACTGTAAAGATTTGATCTGCTAAGATAGTCTTGATGCATATGCAGATCATTCTCATAAAATTCAGCAGAGGTGCAAAAGTTGGCACATGTGTCAATAGGTGTGAATATTTTCTCAGTCACCTGGTTTTTTTGGTAATAAGATCCCATAGAAGTTTGTGATACTTAATATCTGTTGTAGTGCTTATATCCAAATAGAGCTATCCCTATGTATAGTCATGTAGAGTATTCAAAAGTAATGATGTAATGGTATGTAATTGTGGTGGAATGCTACTGTGTTGTAAGAAATGATAAGCTCGATGATCTTAGAAAAATATGGATAGATTTGCATGAAATAATGAAGAGCAAAATGAGCAGAACCAAGAGAATGTAGTATACAGTAGCAGTAATAGTTTTAAGAACAACTTTGAGTAAATAAGTCATTTTGACTATTATAAATACCCAAACTAAATACAAAGCATATATGAAGGAAAATGCTATCTGCATCCAGACAAAGAACTGATAAATAGAAGTATATATAGAATAATTATACATACACACACATACATACATACATACATACATACATACATACATACATATATATATGTTTGTATCTAATAGTAGTCATCTCGGGGGGGAGGAAAAAATTTACGTGATAACTTTTATATATTATGTTATTATATGTAATATATCCTACATTTTATATACTTTTATGTATTTTAAAGAAATAGCAAATTGGCCAAGGTTGGCACAGTGGATAGAGCACCGGCCTTGGAGTCAGGAGGACCTGAGTTCAAATGCGGGTCTCAGACCAGACACTTGACACTTACTAGCTGTGTGACCCTGGGCAAGTCATTTAACCCCAATTGCCAGAAAGAAAAAAAGACAGAAAGAAAGAAAGACAGACAGAAAGAAAAAAAGAAAGAAAGAGAAAGAGCGAGCAAGTTGTACATAATATATTTGTAGTTTCATGTGCAATTATCTTTTTTATTATACTATGTTATGAAAAAGTTTGTTCTATTCCATAAATCAAAAATAAAATAAATAATTTTTTAGAAATTAATGAATCAAGACATTTTAAAAACTAATTGATAATACTGAATGTGTTAGATTACTTTGAGATTTCAGTTGACCATATTCAACAGAATATTAAAAACATTAGAAGGAATTTGTACAAATTTAGGCTTTGAGAACTTTGAAAAGCAGAATCAGCTTTTTTTCCCCCTTCTATTATGTTTAGCTGACAGTGAATTGATGGTCCCAATTAATTTTGAACTTCCCTTACTAGTTTTCCAAATTTGGGCAAGATTCATCAAGTTTTTCACAGATATGGATGACTATCTCTAAATGGGCTATAATACAGACTTTTTTTATCCCTCATGTTCCCCTATCCCCACCCCCATTCCCTACATACATATCCTTACCCTTGTCTAATTTTGCCTTCATATTCTTTTTACAGAGCCTGGATTCCTTCAGAAAATATACAAGATATCACAGTTAACATACATCGGTTGCATGTGAAACGCAGTATGGGCTGGAAAAAAGCATGTGATGAGCTGGAGCTACATCAACGCTTCCTGCGTGAAGGAAGATTTTGGAAGTCTAAGAATGAGGATCGAGGTGAAGAAGAAGCAGAGTCCAGCATCTCCTCTACCAGTAATGAACAGGTAAGTCCTACTCTCATCAGAAACTACAAGTCATTGTTAAATGTGAAAATATTTGAGTGCATATTCTGCCCCGTAAGGAACAGAACCTGGGTCATATTTTTCCATTTCTTAACCATGTTGTAAATTGCTATGCAAAAATAAACAGTAGCACACATTGTTCTTGTCTGCTCCTCACCCCACAAACCAAAGAGCCTTAAAGTGTGATCCTCCCAGGGAAGAGGAAGTAAATTAGTCACTTTGGGATATGCATTATTTTTTCAGATCTTTCAGTTGTAAAGCACATGGTGCTCCAAGACAGGTAATTTGCTAATCAATGTCATGTGTCCCAGGAGTACTAAGTCAGAAGCAAGTAGTTTATTCCTTTCTCACCCCTAGGTCAGTATTTGCAGCCAAGATGAAGTACTTCACAGTATTGAAATAATACCTATTATTTTTATGTGTTCACAGCTGAAGGTCACTCAGGAACCAAGAGCAAAGAAAGGGCGACGTAATCAAAGTGTGGAACCCAAAAAAGAGGTAAGTTACCCTGACCTCCTAGTGTCCAAGTGGCGGTTGATCCAGAAAAAACCTTTTCAAAGTCATGGACAGAGTGGTTCCTCCTGTGGATATTTGTGTAAAGCAATTGTCATCGTTGAATTAGTTACATCAACTAGATGTGAATGCTGTGTTATCCCCTTTCACATCTTACACCACTGCTAGAAATAAAAGAGGATGATATCACAGGTAAAAATTTCCACTTGATTAAAGCATCACTAACTCCTGTGGTTAAGGGGGAAAGGGCACTTTCTTTACCATATAACTTTACTTGGGAACTCTCTTTGTTGTACTATTCCTAGGACAAATAATGAAACTAATATGAATCAATGTGACATTTTAAAAGCCATTACTTTTTCAAAATGATAATCTTTTCATGATGAAATTCATGTGTTATTTAATGCAAGCTCTAGAACTGAGCATATAGGCCAGGTACATATTCAGTGAGAAGTGGTTGGGAATTTTAGCAAATTAACTAATAAATCTGGTCAAAACAAGTGATTTTTTTAAAAAATCAGTTATTGGTATGTAGAATAATTTTATATTTAAATATTTAAGCTTACAAGTATTCAGTTTTAAATTATATGACCCAAGAAACCCAGCAATCAAGTTCCCTTTTACAGTAACTGATTCTTTAATTGTGCTAATTATGACAGTTGTTTGTTACATGGCTATTTATATTTATTACTGAACTTATATGTTAACATAGTTCACTCTTTATTCTTGTATCTGAGATGTGTTGCCTTTTTGTCATTGTAGATAATGCCTAGTTTTTTTTTTTATTTTTCCCCTCCAGGAACCAGAGCCTGAAACTGAAGCTGTAAGTTCTAGCCAGGAAATTCCCACAATGCCTCAGCCAATAGAAAAGGTTTCAGTCTCAACTCAGACCAAGAAGTTAAGTGCCTCTTCTCCAAGAATGCTGCATCGGAGCACACAGACCACTAATGATGGAGTGTGTCAAAACATGTGCCATGACAAATACACCAAAATCTTTAATGATTTCAAAGACCGAATGAAATCTGACCACAAACGAGAAACTGAAAGGGTTGTACGAGAAGCACTGGAGAAGGTAATCCTTTCTTTCACATCTGATTGGTATCATTTGTTTTCAGAAAATGTTGCTGAGTAGATGAACACCATTTCCTGTGGTGGCTGAACTACTTGTATATACTCACCATCTGGGCCACAGATTTACAGTTATGAATATCACCTACTTAGGACTTTTTTATACTAGACTTCCTAATAATTTTATACTCCTGATTTCTTATTAGATGTTCATGAAATCAAGAAGATAGCATTATTTGGGTAATAGTGTATGGATTCTGTTTGCCGAGTTGTATAACCAGTGTCAATGTTAACTGACATGTTTGGGGCTTGATTTTTTTCCTATTAGCTGCGTACTGAAATGGAGGAAGAAAAAAGGCAAGCTGTAAATAAAGCTGTGGCCAATATGCAGAGTGAGATGGACAGGAAATGTAAACAGGTAAAAGAAAAGTGTAAAGAAGAATTTGTAGAAGAGATTAAGAAGCTAGCAGCACAGCACAAGCAGCTGATTTCCCAGACCAAGAAGAAGCAATGGGTAAATATTCATTATAGTATTTTTCATCTTTTTATTGAAAATCTACCTGTCATACCTAATACTGGCTAAAAGTAACTCTTCTGTGGTGCATTTGGGAATTGCAGTGCTGAATTGATCAGTTTCATCTTTTCCACAAACTTCCTTTTGTCAATCATTTGTTTAAAAATCAGTTTAATTATTTTACAATTGCACTTCTTACAGTCTCTCACTCCACTACTTAGTATCCAGTAGTGTCTCCTTGTTTTACATTGATTTGTCTTATCTCACAATATCTGACAATAACGATATTATATACTTCTCCTATATCCCTTACTGTGTTGAATATAGAGTAGACTCTCAGTAATTATTTATTGAGTGAGAAAACACAGTTTGCCTGCAACTTCCAAATTTTTATTGCCTTAAGTTTATTTCATTTCTTGAAGTTTTGTTGCCACTTTCTTTAATTCATCTTGCTCACTTTCAGCTTCTGTAATCTAAGGGGGAATATTTTAAAATATTTCATAAAATCTTTATGAAAAGTGAATATTGAAAATTAGTTTAAAGGAAAGATTTGACAAGCAGATAAAGGAAGCCTACCGAGACACAGCTGTGGAGACAGGTTAGTGAAAAAACTGAGGGGGTGGGGGATGAGCAAAAAGAGCAAGATGGGGGCTAGGAAGCAGGCAGGATGCTTGGAAGCTTGGCTGTCATAACAGTTCTGACTTCTTGCAGGGATGGGGGTAAGAAAGAATGGACCCAGTAATCTTAAAAGATGATGACATTCAACAGGCTAATCAGAAGAAGGAGATCCCCAACAGTAACTGAAGAATCAGGGAAAAGGAAGGCTTGAAAAGAAAGAAAGAAGACTGGTGTTCTTCACTGTCTGGTAGTAAGATATCCAGGAAAGATGCTAGACAAATATTAAAGTAGAGAACTTGAGTAGATGCATGTCAGGTACTTAGACATAATTCCTGAAATAGATAAGTACTACCAATGAAGTATACTGAGACACCCTTTAAGAAGAAAAATAAGATAGATGAGATGTTCCTCCCTAGGATTCTCTCTGAGACACAGAAAGATATCAAGGGAGAAAAGAACCCAAGGAACTCCAAGTGTAGTTATGAGAGAAATAATGGCTTTCCTAAGGTTGGAACTGCTGACGCTAGAGTATGATCTCTTAGATTTTGTAAGTGGAAGGTCACTGGAAAATTTCAAAAGAACAATTTTATTGGAAGAAAAAACTAACCAAAATCAAGACAAAACTTAGAAAATTGAGCTTTTAAGTAGCCAAATATAATCAGCAGGTTCAAGAACTTAAGAAGTATACTGGAACCTTACTCTGATGATATGCTTAGAATCTGTGTTGTGTGGCTGGCTTCTTTATAGATGTTTTGTCATCTAAAAGTTCAATTCTCTTGGCTAGGTTGGCCTGAATTAATGTTATAACAAGTCACAGTATAGTGAGGCTCTGAAGTATTTGGAAGGATAAAATTTGGATGGGTTCTTTATTTAATCTACATAAATGATACACGTGGTTACCAAATACCACTATATTCTAAGAAACACTCAATTGGAGGATGTGCTTATGAAATAAGAACTGAATCATCAGGCTTTTTTGACATGGGTAAATAGTTGGAATATATAAGCAGGTTCATAGTAAATTGGAGAAATATAAATTGCTTCATTAAAACAGTATGTACTAAGTGAATCACATTGGAAGCAGTATTTATGTTAAGGCTTACAAGCCAAAATTAGTCTGTTTGCTAAGCCCATTGGCAAATAGGAACTGGTCCTGACAGAAAGAAAAAACCTAACCTTTTCAGGTTTAAAAAATTAGTTCAAAAGTGATTAAGTTATTTAGTATGATACTTGTAAGTCAACAAGAGTTTAGTTTTTTTAATTGTATGAATTTGTTACTTAGAAACATTTTAGGGGTTTTTTTAAAGTTCATTAGGATGTTGTTGTTTTGACCTCGGTAAAAGTATTTGTTTTTTAAATAAACTTCACTTTTTAAAGCCTTTACTTAAATTTTTCTGTATGCTTGGGCAGCTGCCATTCACTACTGGGTTTATTTGTACATGTATACCTTAGCATTTCTTAATACTGTTCTTTTTCCTTTCACTTAAATAAAGAGAAAAGAAATATACCAGGTCAGATTTTGGCATTTCAGTTAGGTGTGTCACACAGTTTACATCTACATGAAGAGATTGTAGCCAAGGCTTAAAGGAGACACTTAATGAAGAAAACTATAGGGATTCTCCAAGTATCTGTCTTGCCCTCCTAAGTAATATACTTCCTTCCCCACCCATTTCAACCTCAATCCCCTGACCCAGCAGATGTGAAACTGTTTAGAGGACTGACTAACACGCCATATATAATCTACATAAATAGTTCTTGTTCATGGTGCTTTTCAGCTGATGTTTCTAATGACTTCTATAAGTTTGTGAAATCCAGGAATAGGGATCTCTAGAAAATACTTGTTGAGAACACTAGTATAAGTTACTTCCTTGTAGCTGAATTTGAGGGAAAACAAAGGAGAGTACTAACATGTAACTTTTGTAGTTTCTTTAAGGAAGCGATTATCTTACTTTACTCTTAAAATTGGGGGGGGATACTGAATTTCAGATTTTGAGTACCCTATAACTGTGATCAATATTGTCTTATAGGGTCCTGTTTTGCTAAGTGAATAAAGTGTAAACAGACCTTGTCTTCAGAAAAAGCAAAGTTCCATTCCTGAAATTTAAATGCCGTTCGAACTTTGGTTTAATGTCCTCCCATCATCACAAAAGGTGCTACCTCATCATGGTTTTGAAAACTACTTTTGGCAGTTTTGCCATATGCTCCTTTGTTCTTCATCTTCTTTTCTTAAGAATGTATTCTGTGCATTACATTTATCTTGTTATTTAGGTTTAAAAAAAAACCTAACCGAAAAATTTTAAACTCCTATTATCCAGTACTATGTGGGTAACTGGATGTACAAATTCTTCAGGATAAACTTGGATATCACAGAATGGTAGATTGCTCCCCAAAGGTTGAATGATCTTTATTTTACAGAAATCCCTTGGTCAAACCTCTAGTTTTACAAAAGTGAAAAACCAAGATCCTAAGGTGAACACTGGCTAGCTGAAGCTAGCTAGTGAGTAGTAAGTAGTAGAGCTGGGAATCCAACCTAGGTCCCACTACATAAGGCTACCTTGCATCTTTTTAGTAGAATGACCTTTCACTTGCTAGAATATTACCAAGAATATGCAGAATACAGTACTCAGTTTTCTAGATTTGGCTATAGTAAGGACTAGAGATGGTTATCTCTTATTTCTGTCTTGGGTGGAAATCATTATCTAATAAACTATTTCCAGTCATACAAGTAAACTGCTGTTCTACATAAATTGATGGCAAGTTGGATACTTTGGGAGACAAGTTAATGTTTTATCAGGTCCAAGGATATCAGTTTGTAAGTGTTGACTTGAATGCAGTAATAAACTCTGTACCTTGGTGGAGTTGCTCCACTTTAAAAATTATCTAATTTAAGTACCAGTTATTCAACTAAGATTTATTATTAGCACCAACTTTATGCCTACTGAAGTGCTTTGGAAAAGGAGAAATATAAAAGATATGGCCCTTGCCTTTTGGTGGAGGTGTATGAAGAGTTAAGCAGTGCATCAGAAAGTATGTTCTGTCAGCATCTGGTCAGAAAATGATTGCTTAGAGAGGGCTTGAGTTCATTAGGGGAGAACTCCTAGAAAGACGTAATTTTTTAAAATTAAATTTTACTTTTTTTTGCATTTATGAGCCAAGTTGGGAAGTATGTGAGAGACATGGTTTGGAAAGAAAGGGGGAGGGTATTTCCGCCATAGAAAAATCTAAGTAAAACATAAAAGAGCCTAATGAAAGAACTGTATTAATACATATTAGATAAGGTCAGCATGGGCTTCCATATTGATGGTACATCTTAAATACTAGACAACGAGGAAGTTAGGATGACAACTCCTGTTCTACATCAGGGAAATAAAAAAATTGAAGTGGTGTTAAAGAAAGATTTTGCTTGTATTTGGGAAAATAAGAATAACTAGAAGTAAGACCAAGGAGTAACTTATTCATATGATAGCATAAGAATGAGAGATCATTCCATTATTGCCAATAGAAATATAGAGCACAAAGTAGTTAATTATGGGGGTTTTCCTAAGGATCCTTTTTTTTTTAAAACATTGTTCATACAAAAAGAAAATTAACATTTCTTGCCTCTGTCATTATCGGTTGTTGGCCTTTGGTATTCAGGAAAATGCAAAGATGTAATAGGGGATGGATAAGCAATATTATCAGCTTACTACAAGGATAAATGGCGGTCATTGACAAAAAGATCTTTATTTCAAAATTTTGCAGGTAAGTCCATCAAGTGCCCAAATTTGAGTTAGTAAGGCAGGGTTTGACTTAGGATAAGAAGGAACTTCCCAGTCATTAGAGCTGTCCCAAAATGAAACGGGCTGCATTATTTTAAGAAGATAATCACTAGTGATATTCAAGTGGGAATAGGGTATTGTGGAGAGGATTCACGTTTTAGATGCAAATTAGACTACATGATTTCTTAGGACCCTTCCGACTTTCAGATTCTGTGAAATTGGTGCAGACACAGCAAGTGTTCAGGTATTAGTGATGGTGCTAGTTTAACTTGTGGAAAGGTTTTTTAAAGTTTCCAAAGCATTTAGTGATCTGTTTTCACTAGTCTTCCTCTTGCTTCATAGCTTAAAGCAAGGAGGCATAAGATTTAAGTTTTGTTAATCCCTTCCTTGACTAGATCATTTTGGAAGCATTGATCACAGGTTCTTTGGCTTATGGCTCCAGAGCTGAAAGTGACCAGAGGGGGGCATCATTTCCATTTCCTTCATTTATAGATAAGGAAGCCAAGGTCAGGAGAAGGAAGTGATTTGTTCAAGGTCACATGGGTAGTAAGAGGTAGAGAGCAGAAACCAAATTCCAGTTCAGTGCCTTCTAGGTCTGTGCTCTTCCCACCGCCCCATGCAGCAGCTGCCGGTGCCTAAAGCTCAAATTGACTTGTTAATTTGTCTCATTAAATGCAGAAGATGGGCATATTCAACGTAGAAACCAAACTAAAATGAGCCAGGAGGAGGTTTAGTTTCTCAGGCTTCATGTCCCAGGCTGCAATAATCATGCTTCCCGGCTTGTTCTCCCTAGTGCTACAACTGTGAAGAGGAAGCCATGTACCATTGCTGTTGGAATACATCCTATTGCTCGATCAAGTGTCAGCAGGAACACTGGCATGCTGAACATAAACGCACCTGTCGCCGAAAAAGATGAAAGCTGTATTCCTCCTCCTCCAGAGAGAGAGAGAGAGTGAGAGAGAGAATCACCCCGATGATTGCTATTCTCAGACAAAGCGGTTTTTGTTTCCAAGAAGCCAAAATTGTTTAGAATTTGCTTCCCATTTTGCACCAGCCTTTAAACACTTTTCGTGAAGAAATTTTGCACAGTAGTTTAAATCTTCTGTTCATGCTCCTCCAGATTTTGTCAGTAAGTAAGATTAACATCAGTGGAGGGTATTTTAAGGGTTATTTTAAATGAATTTTAATTGAGGATTTGTTGCATTTTCAGCAAATTTTAAAACATTTTTAGGTTTTACAGAGATTTTAACCTTTAAACAACAGATCTTTAAAAAAAAACAACAGGTGAATACAAGTGAGTTTAACAAAGAAACATTTAAAATAGATCTGAATGTAAGAAATATAGAACTGTTTCAGAAATAAAACATACTACCTTGATGTAACATTTATTTCTTAACCTTGTTGAGCTGGTTTTGTTCAGCTTAATTTACTGTTTAAAGGCATTATCTATTGGTTATGCCAGTGGGTATATGATTGAATTTAGGGAACAGGGTTGACACAGCAGGTGCTAGTCCTGCATATTTTTTCTTAAATATTTCCCAATTGTGTTTTTCATTATTTCTTTTCAATATATAACTTTTATAACAAATTATTAGCTTTGATCTTGTAGTTTAAAATTGCAGGGAACTGGGGTAATCTTTTACTGAGCTGGATCTTAGAAAAAATGAATATTTAAATTTTAAAGTTTGCACATTTCATTCTTGTCCTAACATGAGTGCTTGTAACAAAACAAGGAAAAGCCAAAAACTACCTTTATTCATACATGAAATTTTAGATGAGGCATACAAATTTCTTTAATGCTTCCCTTCCCTCCCCAAATATCATCTGACTGCCTATTATCTGGTGTCACCTAGTCCATTGTAAGTTAATACTCAAAGGAAAGAAAGCACTTAAGTGTCACAGAAGCCGTTATGTTTGTAGTAATGGGTCATTGCCTGTTAATGAGCTCCATCACTGTACACAGAATGAAGAATAATGCATGTTAATTTTCTTGTATTAAAGATGCCGTGATTTGTAAAAAGTCTGTATTTTGAGGAATGTCTGGATTAAGAAGCATTACCAATAGGAATGGATCGATAGTTGAATAATGAGTTTTTTTATACATAGATATATAAATCACATCCAGTAAAACTTACTTAAATTTCTTTTCTTTCAAAATGTCTCATAATTTGTTTTTTCAGAGGCTGATTGATCTTAGACCAAGTCAAATTCCCTTTATCATCTAGCTATTTTTTGAGAAGTTAGAGGAATAATTTGTAAATATTTATTTAGATCTTTGATATTTATTAAAAGCAATTACACACAATGGAAGTGAAAGAATAAGGAGAAAAGCCTTTTAAAAAGTTTTCTCTGGGTTTTGTCAGGGTCACTCTAAATATAAAAATCTAACTAAACCTTCTGTGAAAAAAACATCCAAACCTAATGTTGTTGCAGATGGTGGTGACACAAGTTAATTGACCAGCGACTGCCAAATAATGCAAAATATTTTGCAGAGACTACATAGCAGCCCCATTCAAAACAACATACTAAATTACACAGTGACTTGCTTTATTTCTCGTTTCTGTGTAATTAATCCATGTTGCCATTGTGCTGTGGCACTGGTGAGGTCCATCATAGCTGAAGAAAATTAATCTTGTTCAGTTATTTTACAAATTCCCAAACTTCGATCCACCCCTATGAAAGCAAGTTATTGTGGAAATATTTTTGGTGTAAAATCATTCCAGAGTATGTACTATTTAACTGATAGCTGCATGAAAGTAAGATTTCGTGTTACTTTGGCTTTTTCGTCTCTGTTGACACGGTTGCACATTTCCAAGTTACTACAGCGTGAAAACTGTGTGTTAAAAAAAAAAAACAAAAAAAAACAAAAAAAGACATTGTGGCCTGGTTTTGTATAAGTTTTAGGTAAAATTACAATTGATTGTTTTAGGAATCATTATTAAAAATTAATTTTCTGCAAATCATAAAGCTATATTACGGTGTTGAGCTTAGCCACTATGCACATTGTAATTATTCATTGTGGCTGTCCAGTTCTATGATGCATTCTGGCATTTTGTAAGCTGCTCTGACTAGCAATATATAGAGTCATTTAATGTGTTAACATTGGTTAATAAATGTATTTAAAAAAAAATCACTGGCTTAATAAAGTGTCAATCTAGTCCAGTCCCCTGCATCTAAATACAACTGCAGCTGAATGTTGATTCTGTACTATGGGTCATTCATTGGCAACCATTTTCCTTATAAAAGAATAATTTTATTAAAGTAATTCTCCTACAAGCAACATTTATTTAAATTGAAATTTCATTCACGATTTTTTAAAAGTTGTATTTTGTACTGTGGTTAACAAGAGAGGTGTGATATCCATTTGAGGAACCTGATAAATTTAATACATGGCCATATTTGGATTTTTCCAGCTTTTTCAGGAAAACTGACTGTATTTGGTCAATAAAACTGTCTATATTTAAGAAAGTTGGTCTGGTTTCTGCATCATGCAAAACTGGGCAAACACTTTAAAATGTATGTTAGCAAAGAATTCAGCTAAAAGCTTTTTTTTTCCAATTCTTTAATTTGACACTCAATGTTCTATTGACTATTTAACTAAGGCACAACAAATTTGAATCACCTGCCATGTGACCTTACTTTAAGTCACTGAGATTAGAACATTGTGATTTCAGCTAGAAAACAGAAATGCTTATTCTTTTAGGAACTGTGCTGTCATTGAAATTTGCTAACAAGTATATATGGGATATGTTCACATATATGTATTTGCGTCATTTCTTGGGCCATACGCTTTCCTCTTCTTCACCCTGCTACTCTCATCCACAGGTGGAGGAGATCCCATTGACCCAAAGGGAACTCCAGCTGCAGGACATGTCCAGAGAGGAAGGAAAATCCTCATTGTAATCACTTCCAACATTCAATGTTTGACCATTTCTCTGTGGATCTCTATATAGTGTGTGTCACAAAAAAGAGAGAGAGAGAGAGAGAGAGAGAAAATATCAAAAAGCGAGAATTTATTTCTTTGTAAATTGAATATGAAACAAAACTATCTTGGATTTTTACTGTATTAAGCATTTGTTATTCCATTTTAAGAAATAATGTTCCTATAGCAGTATCTTTATTTGCTTTTATGCTGTACATATGCTCCACTGGAGCATGTCAGACATGATGACTAGTGGATCCCGTCTTTTTCTTAATCTAGTGGTGCTCTTACTTTCAGCTCACCAGTCCCAAATGTTGGTAGTTCAGTGTCAGACTCCACAGCATTAAAAAGTAGTTTACCTGGTCCTTACCTGCTGCTTTGTGCATGTTTCTTGTCCTGTAAGCATACATCTCTGAAAGACAAAAATAGTTGAGTTCTGAATACTGGTTTCTCGGATTACCAGAGGAAATGAGGTTGCGACATTGTTAATAAAATCATTTAAATTACCCTATTACGACTTTGTCAGTCAAATAGCATTTATTAGGTTGGTACCACATACTAGGCACTGTGTTAAGCACTGGGAATACAAAGAAAAGCAAAAATAATCGTCAAGCTAAGCACATTTTTTTAAGTGACAGTTGCCACAAACATAGAGATATGTCCTGGGCTCATACAGGAGCACAATGCTCTAAAATAACAGTTTACCAAATTGAGGAATTTTCTTAAATTTTGGCAAATTTATATTAAAAAGTCCATGTGTTATTTGGCCAAGTATGACTGAAATGTGAACTCTTTCATTTCCATGCTACAAAAGCAGGAAAAAGTAATAAAAAGAAAAAATTCCACTACCTGAAACAAGGCCAGACTGTATTAATAAGTCATTTAAATCATAGGATTTCTTTTAGAACAGCCGTTTTACTTAAATAGCTAAAATTAAATTAATAATATTGTCTTATAGATGTCCTGCTTAATGATTTTTAGTTATGTAGAAAATCCCAATTTAAGTAGGGCAGGTGGCATTGGAATTATTTTATATGAAAACAGGTGTTTATGGAAGTTCTTATATAGATAAACAATATATTTGCAATTTGCTTTATACTACTAATTAGCTTAGTTATCACATTTTTTAAATAGTACAAATTCAATTCAAAATGACTACTTTTCAGGGAACTTAACATTCCACAAAGACAAAGTAATTTCTAGAATCTAGTCAGGATGACAAATTGCTAATAATAGGGGTTCCAGAGGGCACAAGTAACAAATAGGGAAGACTGGGATAGAAATACCCCAGGAATGAGCCTGAGGAAGTAGGAAGTGATGCTTAGAATAGGGGGCTTTGCTTGGGCAGCTTATAACTGAATCACAAAAATTCCAAGTGGAACTATCATCTGTCAGATTCCTATGCCCTTTATAATATTAAATCCAATAATAATATTAAATCTCAGTCCCTGAGAGAAATGTGGAACACTGGGAGAGAAGACTAGTGTGGAATGTTCAGTGGCAGAGCAGATGTCTGGTCCAGGGTCTCTTGCCTGATGATCAGGGTAGGAGTCGCTGAGGTCCTGGCACCAAATTGTGGACAAAGGGCAGAGGCATGTTAGATAAATATACTCACCTTCAGCCCGGTCAGCATTGCCCAGAATTCCCATGTAAACCAGCCCCCATCCAAATGATTAACAATTCTGAACTAATGAAGTCCAAATAAATGTTTTCACCATATATACCCTAAACTGTTGAAGCAACAAGACGCCATGATGTGGAATGGAACGTACTTTATTTAGGACTTGATAGCTTATTCATTCAACCAGAATAGAGTGCAAGGCACTATGCTCAATTTCAAGGGATATGCAATGCTAGGAGTTCCA